ACCTCGTGCTAGTCTTCATCAAGACTCCTCGAGCTGCCTTCATATAGTCTAGATAGACTCCACCATTTCCTTTGAGTGTGACCGTAGTCCATCACTCATTCTAAGTTCATGCCTATCTTATTCAATACCTTAGATAGCACACACAATTAATCACTAATGATTCATATCACTTTGATCATGTCAATAACTCAAGGATTCCTTACTTTACATTTAATCACTTTGCCTATCCACATAGGTATCCATATATCCTTTTTAAGACCATATGGAATCACACATTTACTAACATTTGTTTATATCATTCTAATCCTCAATATCAATTTAATAATCACATTATTAAAAGGATTTCTCCCCTCATGCATAATACCTTTGCTTATTCACCTTTGTATAATCATATATCAATTTATATGATCACATAGCAACACATTTATTCACATTGAAGTATATCATTAAATTCCATCAAAATCATAATTTGATTACTTAGGTAATCCCATGCTCAACTCATGAGTTATAAACGATATAGTCAGCCATCCTCGCCTTAAATTTGTCCAGCAAGGTTGCCTATTGAATCCCCATCGTTAAACCTTCGATCGGGAATGATCCAAAACAAGATTGGCTGTCAGAGGACAAAAGCCGCCCGGCTTTTGCAAAAGCTGCCCGGCTTTCGGCCTTGCAGCACGAAAACAGCACCTAGAAGTGGCGGTTTCCGGGGGTTTCGATTTTTATCGATTCAACAACTCTTCTAAGTTAATTACCAACACTTTATATCATACTAGTATGTGTACCCGTGCACTGCACGGTAAAATATGTGCGTAAAGTTTTTCTTAAAATCGTAGGACAGTGAATTGTATGTGAATTCGTAAATCAGTGTTTACAAGAGAATCCAATTAGATTATGTGTAGATCTGTCAAAATGAGTCAAAGCAAACAGGTCTAGCCCATTTCATCCCATCTCGTGATGGGTTGGCTATTGGAGTTATCATTTTTTATCCTGATGAACTCATCGGTTACATGGGTCAACCTGCACGGGTTGCAGGTTAGGTGGGTTGGCACATGCAGATATGCAGGTTGTCCAAAATACAAATATCTATTTTTGAGTTTCATTGTCTTCAATATTGTTTATTTACTACCTGGTGTGGTTAAGTCCTAGCAGTCCACAGGTCCAACACAGTCATTTGGGCTTTCGTGGGATCTTTTACCAATCACTGCGTTTGGTGTATTAATTAAGGAAATATGAAGTCAAAAGCAATAAGGATGAGAGGTAAAGCGGGGCCAAGTTCTATTACAAACTTACCGAGCCCGAATCCCAACCCCTTGTTCTACACTGAGCTATTACAAAAGAGCTAGAGAGAACTCTAAGTTATAGTATGCAAGTTTATCAACTCTTTACAATCAAATAAACGCAAGTGTTTATACTACAATGTAGTAGGTAGATGTAGGTGATGGTGTGTCGAGCCCTCGCTGGATAGCCTCAACCATATCTAGTGCACTAAATGTGCTTCCCGCTAATTCTGCCCTTCCCGCCGACTGCTTTGAAGAGCTCTCCGACATACAACCAGCACTATTTGAGAAAACACCAAATATCAGAATATTATCGATCAGCGAATCCCGTGCGGAAAGTGGGCCTGCATGCTAGTTAGGTCGTTTGGGGGTATTTGGGCCTGGATCCAATACCCAACACTACCAAAATTATTTTCAAATATACTTATTATTCTACAACCTTTTTTGTAATGTTATTTCTATAATAGTTATTCAAATAAGTTTCTCTAGCATATTTTTGTGTTATAGTTGAAAATACTTTTTAATAATTAATAATCATCGTTCACAAATATTGATTCAAAAGATCTAATTGTATCTATTTTTCGTACAATAAGTGCTTTTGCTAGCTACATACTATTTGATTATTATCAAATTTTAATATAACAATGATTTAATAATATTTTTAATTAAATCTATCAAGTAATTTCAATTGAAACAACAAATGACAATAGAGGAGGCTATATATATTATACTACCCCCGTCCCACCAACAATGGGACAAGAGGGAGTGACACGCAAACCAATAAAAAGTGGTTTATGAGGTTGATATTAAATTGATAAAGTAAGAATAAAGTAAGAATGATTTAGAGTCACACAAACTTAACCAAATTTAGTATGAGACAATCTTAGTGGGACAGACCGAAAAGGTAAAATGGGACAATCTTAACGGGACAGAGGGAGTAATATAATATTGGAATACATAAGAATTAGAGAGAAACATTTGTTTTTATTTTAAGGGAGACTAAAAATTGTTAACTACAGTATTTTTTATTTTAGGGTATTTGTAATTTGTACTATCTTGAGTGCAAAACTTTACCTAACTATGTGCAGGATATTATGACAAATATTAAAATATAAAAAAAATATATATTAGATGTGTTGTTTAAAACAACATAGGATAATAGAGGATGATACATAAAAAGTATATTGGAGTATATAGAGTGGAGTTTTGCCACATGTCATTTTTCATACAAAAGATGTTGCCACATGTCAACAATTCCTTTAAAGGGTTCTTTAGGGGTTTGCTTTATTATATTAATATAGATTTCTACACTTTTAAACGTGTAGAACATCCTCATTAATCCAACATATGATTTCTTAAAAATCATATACTCTAAATATACTAATTAACAAGTTTAATCGGGAAAAGCATTCGGTTACCTAGAATTGAGCTTTCTTCTTCCCGGAATCACCCCTTCTTGCTCCTCTTTTCTTCTTGGACGTGTGAGACCATGAGGTTGAGCTCCTCTCTATCTTTCTTATCCTTTCTATTTTTAGCATATGGGCTAATATGGGCTGGGTTTGTACATGGGCTGCTCCTTTCCATTAAATCTGACCCGAAACAATAGTTTGGTCACTCATCAATTATATTTGGGCTATACTTTCTATGGGCTACCCTCAATTAAAGTGTAGGGAGTCCTCCACCCGAATACTCGCTATTTTTGGTAAGTTGGGTTAGAATGCCACCTTGTTTACTCAATCTATCTTGGTCCGACCCAAATGACTTTTATTCATTTATTTATATTATTTTAGGCTAGTAGACCTTAATAGGTTGGTCCTAAAATGTATTGGATAGTCCTCTCCAATATTCCGGGCTCAAACCCCTTTATATTTCTATTATTAGTAAGTGGGCTCGGATGGTCTCTCGTATTATTTCTTTACCTTTTATTCGGCCCGAATAATCATATATTACTTACTTCTTATCATTGGGCTTTTTATTTAAATTAACTTGGTCCAAGAATATATATTAGTTAGTCCTTCCCCATGTTTGGGGTCCGACCCGCAATTTAATTAATCGGTATTAATTTAATCAATTAATTTTTTCTAGTATGATTAATATACTTGTAACTAGTTTTCAACGTGAATATATATCCATGACCTTAACTAGTCATCATCCTCAAATTCGGTATTTGTACTTTCAATTAGATTTTAATATTAATGGATTAATAAATCCAAGTTCAAATTGGGAGCGGTGTCACAAAATCGTTCTTCTGGCAGTTGTGTGTTGATTGTCTACCAACTACGGCAAATTTGCGGAAGAGGTAAGTATTGTGTCCAGAAAACATGTGAGCTTTGCGGTGCAAATGAAGAATCTCTCCTTCATTTATTTGTTCATTGTCCAGAACTCGATAGGCTGGTCATCAATTGGGTCTGCAGCGAACAACTTTTTACAGTGGCTAAAGATGGTATTTCAGGCAAAGCAGCGACAAGATTTGGAAGGAGTGGCCTGGGGCTGCTGGGGCTTATGGAGGGAGCGCAATAACCGGGTTTGGCAAGGTAAAGTGATGAGTATTTCACTATTTCTCATGTTATGCAGGATGCCAGGAGATATGTTGAGGCCTGGACTTTAAAGCAACAGCAGGGGAAGGAGCTGGCAGTAGGATCACAGGTAGGAACTCAAGTTTGGAAACCTCCGAAGCTTGGCTGGTGCAAACTAAATATTGATGCAGCAAAAGGGAACCTTGACGGTGGCCTAGGATTGGTTATTCAGAATGAGACGGTGACTTTGTGACGGGAGGAGCTAAGCGTAGGGGTGGACTCGGGCCGGTCGGCCCGACCCGGGACCGGCCCGGTCACTGTTTGGCCCGGCCCGGGGCCCGGTGGGTCCACCGGTTCGGTTTGGCCCGGCCCGGCCCGGGGCCCGGTGGGTCCACCGGTTCGGTTTGGCCCGGCCCGGGTGTTGGGCGGTCCGGGCTCGGGCCCAGCTTTTGGTGAACCGGCCCGGCCGGTTCGGGCCCGATCCGGGCCGGATTTTAATTTATTTTATTTTTTTGAAATTTTTTTAAGTTTTAGGTTGGATTAGGTATTTTGGGCCATTTGAGGTGGTTTGGGATGGTTTGGGGTTGAGGGGGAGGGGGTTTAATAGGAGAACCAAAAACCAAAAAAAAATATGTGGGCCAGAACTGGAACCGGAACCGGCCACCGGCGGTTCGGGCTCGGGCCTAGATTTTCTGAACCGAGGCCCGGCCGGGCCCAGGCCCGAACCGGAACCGGTCCACCCATAGCTAAGCGTGGGCGGGGTTGTGGCTCTCCATTGGAAGATGAATTGTTGAGTATTCGGAAAGCACTCAGTTGGATGCATTAGTAGCTATCCAAGAAATTCGAGTTGGTTCAAGTCACTCTACAGTGGGCATCTTAGCCGAGGATATTCCTGATATTAGTAAAAAGCTTTTCTAATACTGTATTGATTAGTAAAAGCTTTTATAATATTGATTTCTCTTTTGTTAAAAGATCAGCTTGAATAGAATAGCTTGTTCTATGTCTGATTGTCAAATTTGGTTGTATAATCCTCCTTCGTATATTGTTGGCATTCTAACCTTTGATTTGATTAATGTCAATTAAATTTTTCCTCTTAAAAAAAACGAAGATACAATTCTCACATGATCCGCCCGTATAACATTATATAATGAGCTAAAATAATGTTATTTATGGTAGTCATGTTGATTTTTTTTAAATGCCAACAAAAAAGTTAGTTTCTAAAACAACTACGCACAAAGAAAATAGAAAACGAATCATTGAGGACTTGGAATGTTATATCGTGGTTTTCCATAGCAGGAAATCAAACCGCTTGAAAAAGGTTTAGAAGTTTTAACAAGACCTCAAGGCCCGAGAGGCCGAGAGGTAGTACATACAGAACCAATTAAATCAAAGTCAAGTTTCCAAATTTAAAAGGAACATTGAAATTTGTAAACCAACCATCATCATCATAGGTACGCCATTCAACAGTATAAGTGCCCCAACAGCTAAATCCATTTTAGATACAAGACTCCATAACATTGGGAAGCAAAGTTGGATTACCGAGCCAAGTTTATGCACAACCACCATGATTTCACCAATACCTCAGTTTCTTCTCTTCCTCTTCTTCTCCTCTTCCTTTTCAGATGCATTCCTCAACTGCAAAAAAAAGGTTTAAGCCTAGTTTACTTAGCTGCTCTTAGCATGTTTGTTTTCCCCCTATTTTACGCTCTCCCTGCCTGTATTTCACCCACCCCTTTTATAAGTTTGGGAATACAAACTAAAGCAAAAGTAAATTGTGTTTTGATACTTGTGATCTGCAAAGTTTGAATGATTTTGAGCTACATAAACATTTGACCATATATGGTATATTCGTATGTGAGAAATTCCTAGAAATGCCTGAAATTAAAAATGAAAAAAAAAAAAACATTATAGGATGGACAAATACTATATATGCTATACACTCTGTTCTTGAAGACTTGGCGCATTTTTTCAAAACTTCATTTCTTTCTAATTACTCAAATTCAATCTTCCACACTCCGTTGCTATAGTACAGATTGCAATATTCTTAAGGTATCTAGCAAATACGTAGTATATAACGAAGGCTATTCACATTACTAAGAAAGGGCCTATCCGTCTTTTCCTATTATGTCTACATCTTTTAACGATATCTGAACATGTTAAACACTTCAACATAACCTCCTAGAGAGAGAGTATCCAAGTAATTTTTCCTAACCTGCCTAATTGAACAACCAGCAAACCTCTATCTACTCTTAACCTGCCTAATCGAACAACCAGCAAACCTCTATCTACTCTCAACATGCCTAACCACGCACAACCTAAGTCCTAACTACCCAAGTAATAGTGATTACAACAAAATCTCTGTGATCTTCACAGCAATGGACCCAGTACTTTCTTTTGTTATTAAGTAAAAAAATTGAACATCTTGGCTTACCATGATGATAAGAATCCGGACAAATACAGCCACAAAGTCTGTGAATAGAGTGAGTGCGTGCTTCACATAATCCAGATCACCATAGTGTGCCTTCTCGATTATAGCCTGGGTATCAACCACTATGTATCCAATGAAAATCAAAAGCCCAAAATACAACTGCAAAGCAATGTTGATTAAAAGTTAGAGTTCCTTACAAAACTACAGTGCAATTCTGTTTAATGATGGGTGACTGGGGTGAGTATAGAAGTAAAAAAAACCTCGAACTTGAAAAGGACTATAGAACCACCAAAGATGGAGGTGGCGAACTGCATCCAGAAAAGGAGTGAAAGACCAGATGAAAGCAACCCCCCAAGGTACAAGTACTCTCTTCGCCTTGCCACCATGGCAGCTGCCGAGAAACACCCAAATGCCAAAGCACAACCAACAATTGCACTAACAAGGATGCTGAAGGAAGAACAGAAAACTTGACAATCATCAGTGATCAGTTACCCTATCTCAAGTTAAAAACTGGTTCTACATCAAGGCAATATTTGGATAGTTTTTGTGGGGAGAAACCGAGAAAAGTGTAAGGAAATAAGCCAAGGACAAGAACCTTTACTTTTCTTCCGTAATTTTCTTTGCTTTTTCACAATGATGTAAAATACGAGATTAAAAGAAAATAATATGCAATCCTAGTTTGTTCTCTCTCCAAATTGGAGAGATTGCGTTGGCAGGTAACTGAGGATTCTTTCCCCCCTCACCTTAACTTCCACTTGAAACCAAAGGGGGGAAAATTGGTCATAATCACAATATTCCACAATTATCTGCCTCCATAGGGAGGGCAGCTTGAAGCAAAGGTCATCATTCAGGACATAGTCATTTGTGTCATTTTCACATCGCATTTTCGTTTTATTACGTAGTATCTTATTTCTCATAGTTCAAGTCCAGTACCATTATGAAACTAATATGATAAATATATACAATACAAATGATCCAGACTGAAGATATAGAATTTTTTGACACAATACTATTTATCCCTTACTTATGTTCTTAAAGTCTTGACATACATTGAATTGGTCAAGGTGATCCACGGTTTAAAGAGAAAAGGAGGGGTCGGGGTCAGTCCAGGTGACTGAATAGCTACACATTCAACCAGACAGAGAAAAGGATTGCCAGCCAAACCTGGAATCAAAGTCAATGGCAACCCCAATCAGAGGACCGATTGAGGCTCCTTCAAAAAGTGCCGCTGCCATCAGAAGTGCAACCCTTTTTTGCTGCTTACCAGAAATACCAAGAGAAATAAATAATTAGCGGGTCAAGGAAAAAATCCGAACAGGACACATAACTGCTCTGAGAGGGAGGAACTAACTCAAATACCTCTTCATAAGGAGGACAAGAGAGCATCCAAGCAATGCTTCCAATGCATCCTATAGTAGTTAAGATACCACCAATATTCCAGAGTACGTGAAGATAAGCACCAGCTGCAGATGCTAACAAAGCACAGCATAGTGCAAGATAAACCTGCCATTGGGAAATAAATCTCATCAGAAATGTCTCTAAAGTTTATTAACATAATGAATTGTTGTATAATGAATTTCTCATCTTCAATACAAGGTTTTAAAAAGCTGAAGATTTTCTTAGAATTCTTATTTTATCATTCCATCACAATAAACACATTGAATTTCTATTTGACCACATCAGTTACATGTTGGAAGAGTGCAAATTTCTGAAAAATATATATGTGGAGAGTTTGAAATACAAACCAAAAAATCTTCAGCTTTTAAGAAGCTAATTGCACAAAGTAAATTGACTGAAACATTCGGTTGCCCTTGTTTAATTTCCTCGATCAAGACGCCATTAGAACTCGAAAATCATATGAAGCACAACAACCCATCAATGATCACGTATGCATTACCAATCAATCGAATTGCATCTTTCTATGGTTTGTAACTCGTCTACACCTCACATTTCGGTACTTATCTAATTCAGTTTCCTTGGATCGTTGAAAACTCAAAAGAAATTCAGAGGTACCAATCCATTGTAAATCGCACAAAACGGGAGTCGACAACGTTAATCATTTGAAATTAAATAACTACGATCGATAAACAAAAAAATCAACAGGAATAAACGAACTGTTGGAGATCCATGAGTTAGGGTATGATATCCATAAATACTTACCAAAAAGTTTCTAACTACTAGAAACAGGTAAGAAATTACACAAACCTGCTTGAGGTGATTTTGAACGATGGGAGAGATCTGGCGGAAGTTCTTGAGAGAATCGTAGCTCCAACGGTTCGGAGATTCAGGATTAAAAAAGGATGTGAAACCCTCCATTATGGTGTTTCTTTCCGCAGGAAACAAGCAAAGCGTATTAGAGCGAGACTATTATTCCGGTTTTGTAAGACGAATATTTTTTGATCTCGCACGATGCGTTTATATACCGATACTTTTCCGGTTTCCGCACCTTCAGGAAATCACGAGAAGGAGGAATATGAAAAGGGGGCTTTTGTACTAAAATAAAATTAAAAATAGGATCATATTTAAATTTTTCACAAAAAGACTAATAGGACATTTATGCCCTCATTCCAGCCTAGAGTTAGAGTTACCTGATTCAATTAATTACAATTACTCAACCAGTTATAGTTACTCGATCCGACCACTTACAGTTGACCTGACTAGTTACAGTTACATAATCTGGTCATTTATAGTTACTTCATCTATCCAGCTACAGTTACTCGTCCGACCAGTTACAGTTATTCGATTCAACCAGTTATAGTTACTCAAGCTCATTAATTACAGTTAAATGGCCCGATTAATTATATTTACTCGATTAATCAGTTGCATTTACCCGATTCAACCAGTTACATTTACTTGATTCACCCAGATTATCTGGTCTTATAGGGACTACTGCCCCGACCACCACCTCCGGTGACCAGCATCCCTCCACCATCGACCGCCACCACCGTCGACCAAGACCTCCGGCCACCACTGGACACCGTCCCAGCCCCCTCCTCAGGTCCCAGCACCTTCCAAACCCGTCACCACCCGGATCTAGCCGTTTGACACCCTTTCATCGCACCACCACCTCTGACCACAGCCACGCCATCCAGTAACTGCCGCCCAACCCACAACCGCCACACCCCTGCCCCCTCCGTAGCCACAAGCACCCTCTCCAGCACGCATCCCCTATCCCAGCCTGTCGCCTCAGCCCTAGCCCCACAATCCTCACAGCCTCAGCCCTAGAGCTGAAAGATTAACATTTTCCTGTGAATCCATTTGTTGGTATTGTAACACTTCCTATGGATCACCACCACTCCTTGAAAAAGAGAGTTTTTATTAGAGATAAGAGTATGACACATGAGGATAACAATTATCTAGAAAGAAGAAGATAAAAATATACCACTACATTTGTTCTGCTAAATTGTGGATTATTTCAAAACTTAGAATACGAAGCTGGTATAATTTGAGAAAGTGATCAACAATGTAAGAAACAATGAGTATAGTGGATGCATATACTAAAATCATAGTAGAGCTTCAGAAGGCTGGAGGGGATACCTTGGAATTTCAAAAGTTCTCTAAGAACCTCGCGACGGGGTTGGAGGATGTGGTCTGGAAAACTGAGGAAGCAACAATATAAGTTAGTACATGCAGTGTAGGCTTAAATTTGTTGATGTCTGCAATTGCAAAGCAGATTTGTGTGCTGCTGAATTGTCTCAGATACACTTTTTCCTTTTATCCTCTTAAAAGTCTTTTATACTTAACTAGTATTACACCCGTGCGATGCACGGGACAAAAAAAATTTCATGACATATATAGTCATGACATGCATGATAGTATATAGACATGAATTATTAAAATAATGAAAAAAACAAATAAAGAGCATATTTGTATTATTACACAATAATCAAAAGAATAATATCAAAAAATGGTAGGGAAATTTTCAAATAATATGTATAGATGATAATAAGCTAAAACATGGCCAACCATAGGGGACAGGCACCTAGGCAATGGCCTTGGGCACCACCTTCAATGGAGGCATTACTTTTAAAAAAAAATACTACTCCTGTTTTACCGTAATACGGAGTATATTAATTAACAAAAGTCAAAAGTCAAAGCAACAAAACAATAAATGAATAAAATCCTTTTCAAAAAATAAATAAACGAATAAAATCAAATACTCCGTAAGATAAACACATGACATGGGAACCTGGCCCGCTGGCCGGATGGTCCAATAGGAAATTAGTAATAATGTACGTATACACGTATAGACACGGAATTTTTACACTAAAAATATAGACATTTTAAAATTTTGGGTTAGGTGAGGGCTGATCCTCCCCTAACTATGCCTCTGGTGTTATCTACTCTTGAGTGTAGTGATGTAGTTACAAAGTTTGCACTTCAAAAGGCTAGAATAATAGATTATTAGGTAGTACTTTTATAATTTCATTAATTTCTTAGAAGAATTTATATTTTCACATACTTTATATCACTTTTAAGTCAAATATTACCTTTTACATGTAGTAAAAAATGATTTTATAATTTTCTAATTACTTCATTTTAATTCCATTATTAATTTTAAGTACTATTTGATCTCGTTGGTCTTTTTCTCTAGAGCCAAAGTGCTAGAGACAGCCCTGAGCTAAAATTAAACTTTTTAAGAATTGGAATATTTATTTGTGTAGTTAGAAATATAGGCCTGATTGTATTTACAAACTCATACTCCGTATATAACAAAAGATATACTCATATACATTACTCATTTCATTCTATATGCAATTTGATCTTTTAAACAATCAAACATTTCGAAATTATACTTCATATTACTGACAAACGCGGGTCTAAACTTGTGCAGGAATAAATTACATTAAAACTTACGGAGTAATAGATAGCTCGGTATGAGTTTCTTTTTTAAAAATGCCTAAATTACTGAATTTGTGTGTAGGAATTAGCATTGTATTATTTTAATATATGAAAGGGATTTATTTTATTTTATTTCATTTCATTCTATATTATTTTATTTTGGGAAAAGGGTGAAATAGAATCTCAAACTTACATAAAAAGGTCAAATAAGCCTTTATATAGGAGGCTTTGTTCGGCCGTCGCCATTTTGGGCAGTTCCTGGTGAAATTTTTTGATGAAATTTTTTGAGCACCATATTACAAGTCTAATTTGCTCATACCAAATTTAATCTAACAATTCAATCGGGAAGACATTCAAATGAATTCTTGAAGATAACTACGCTTTTAACTGTGCATTCAAATTTCAGCTAGTTTACTTATTTTATTTAAATCTAGTTTACTCATAAGAAATTTTAATAAAATGCTCAAAAAAATTTATCAAAAAATTCTACGGGGAACCGCCTCAAATGGCGACGGCCGGACAGAACCTCTTATATAAGGGCTTATTTAACTTTTTTATGTAAGTTCGAAGGTCTATTTGACCATTTTTCCTTTTATTTTATATGTTTAAGGTTGTCAATTCAAGGTGTTTCAGCCTAATATCTCTCCAATATAATGCTCGTAGTCATGCATTATTGTACTCTAAGAGCTTCATTCTCTAATCTTTCTACTTTTTCAATATCCCCTTTAATCATATGAACATAACATATGAAAATAATTATCCAGATTCAAATATTATCTAGACTACTTTATTATTTATATAGCCTGATTCACATGTCAAAAACATTGAAAAATGTGAATCCATTATATCCTGTGTCGGTTTAATATGCTCCTACACGGCTACACGATCCAATTGATCTAGAAAAAATAAGTCCTTGTGCATTTTAAAAGAAATTCTAGATCAAAGAGCATCATCATTTTCGGTAGTCCATATTATAGCAAGTAAGAAATCCCACAGCAGACATATATATAGCCGAAGTCCGAACTCCGAAGTGCAGCTTACTATTTAATTCTGCCGGCTGGCTGGACATCTAGCTATTAATATTATTATTTTATTTTTATTTTACGGAAGTATGCTGAATGATTGCAACTGTTGTATAGGTCTGTTGTGTTTACGTCTATCATTCTTCCCTAGAACTTTTTTGGCGCCAACTTCTCCTAGAAGATCTCTTTTACTTTTATATATAGATAGATATGCTGAGTATTATATCATTACATTTTATATAAAAATTAAATTGGAAAACTAATGTGGAGTATGGTTTTGTTGGTTGAAATTTGTTTATACCTTTTATGTAAATGACTGGGATATCACTCTTCTAGCCATCACTCAACCAATTAACGGTTAAATCTAAAAAAGTTATAAATCAAATATGAAGCTATATTTCTCTCCAATACTATCTATTACAGTGCGATAATTAACCTTAGATAAACAATTGTAGAATCAGTCTGCTAACCAATCACAAAAGAGATTACATACCTGCTATCTGCAAAATGTCCACAAATACGGAATTAACTGAACATAGTTGATTCGGTTCTAATTTAAATAGAGAAATCAAGTCAATTAAATATAGAATGTTAAAAGAGAACTTTGTGCAAAGCACCGACTTCATATATGAAGTATATATTACCAGAAAATCAATAGTGCTTGGTCCCAGTCTCGCAATAGCAGTTTTCCAGATAAACTGCCTGGTAGGTACGATCTCAGACGGATACAGTTCCAGCGCAATTTCGATGAGATCCTTTATGCTTAATTGAATCAATAAAAAAATCGATATAGAAAAAGAGTGATCAATATTGGAAGATTAATTCATCTTGTATTACCGAGACAAACACTCTTCAAAAAGGAATACCAATAAAGAAAAAGTTCAGAAATCATCTCCAAATACCTGGTCAATCCAGCCACAAAGATAGAAAACTCATTTTAATTATGATTGTGGGACTCCTGGGATTGGGGTATAAGATCGATCAAGATTAGGGAGCTAGGGCAAAAATGGATACGGTAAAAAGCTTTGCTAATCTACACAAGGCGGTGTGCGACGTCTAGAGAGTACGGCCGCAGATGATTAAATATGAGATTGGATCAGTATATAACGTGTGCTTCTCTAGCAAATGTATTTGGCGGAATATTTTCAGGAGATTGGAGCCATAAAAATTTTACAGAATATTTTAATGCGCCCATTTTACGATTTGGATAAATTTTACGGGGCTTGATTTGCTGACTCAGTCACTCAGCCTTTATAACTGGCTTTTAAGAACGAGAAAGTGGGTCTCAAAGTGTTGACATTTAATTTTGACAGGTCAGCATCACTCTACCGAATAAAGAAAGCATTGAAGCGCAAAAAATTGCCAAACTTTCGTATGCCATTACGTGGCTGGATTTTTTTACTGTTAAAAGCAGGTGCATTAGAGATGCTCTGAGGAGTAATAAAAGTCAACATAGCAGAAGCCAGAAGCACATCAACGTTGGTATCTTCTTCCAAAGTGCCGCAACGAACTTTTTTTCTTTGCCGCTTGGGAAGAAATCTGTCCGCCTCAGTACCTCACCGGCGTCACCGCCTGGCGCCTGGTTCTCCAATTTCTCGTGTCCGCCTCAGTACCTCACAGTGCCGCTTCACCGCTTGATTCTCTCAGTTCTCTGCTTTGGCGGTTTGGCCGAAATAAGATGCTGACTGCCTGATTCTCTATTCACTAATTCAGACATTAAGTATTCAATAATCTATCAAGTATTCAAGTCTGAACTGGCAGGGGCAACAACTCTCTCTTGAGCTCCAGTTGCGTAGATCTCCGATTTCAAGGATCTCCAATTGCGCATAGTCCTTTGACGGGAGTGAAGCGCTCCTCTTTGGTCGGTAGTCCCATTTTTGTCATTTTTTGGGTTAGTCCCATTTTTTGTCAATTGAAAAGTCCATTGTATTATTTTTGTCATTTTTTATGTGATAAGTGCACATTTATCCGTTTCTGGCATAGATAACAAAAACAACACCTATCAAAACCCACCTCAAACTCTCATATAACATGAACTGTTTAGATTTTCTAAAATACTATAGGTACCCCATTTTTATCCCTCCCTAATGTGTGGCTCAAATGGGGCAACTCATTTAAAGGGAAAACTGTCAAATAGGTCCTCGAACTTTCATAAAAAGGTCAATTAAGTCCTTCTATAGGAGGTTTTGTCCGGACGTCGCGATTTGGGGAAGTTCCCGGTAGAATTTTGTGATGAAAATTTTTGAGCATCTTATTCATCAAGTCTAGTTTACTTATACCAAATTTCAGCTAAAAATTCAATCGGGAACACATTTAAATTAATTCTTGAAGATAACTGCGCATTTTTGCGTTCTCGAATTAATTTGAATGCGTTCCCGATTAAATTTTTAGCTAAAATTTGGTATGAGTAAACTAGGCTTGATGAATAAGATGCTCAAAAAATTTCATCAAAAAATTCCACCGGGAACCGCCCCAAATCGCGATGACCGGACAAAGTCTCCTATAGAAGGACTTACTTGACTTTTTTATGAAAGTTCGAGGACCTATTTGACAGTTTTCCCCTCATTTAAATGGTGGTCTCATTTGAACCACATAATGGATGGGGTAAAAATGGGGTACCCCATTTTGGAGTACACGAAGCACAACTCTTATGATATGTTTGGATGGGAGTTAACCTAAGTTATTAGAGGTTTAATTTTTAATTAACCTTGTTTGTTTACATTTTTACAACTAAAACCTAGGTTATTGATAAATTTGAGTTCACCTCACTTAACCTCTCAAAACCCGGAAGAACCCCAAATACGTAAACCTCCGATTTGGGGGGTTTGCTGAGTGATGTTCTCGCATAAACTATTTTTTTCCCGTCCACTCCCATTATAACCCTTTCCAACCTTCCCATTATTTACACGTTCCCTCCAGTATCAACACGTTCTTTTCTCCTACCTTCATTCTGCCGCCAACTTCATCCCGCCATCAGCCTCTCTATCGATTGGAGCTTCATTGCAACATCAGGTATTCTCTTCCCCTATTCTCCTCTTCTCTTCTCCTCCTCTTTTCTTCTTCTGCTCTATTCTTCTTCCTTCCTCCTTTTACTCTTTCGTTAATCACAGGGTATTTTTCTATCTCTTTTCATGGGTTGTGCTACTTGAATTAAATATATATATGGACTTACATTAATATTGTTGATTTACTTGACTGGGATACATACTTGCTATAATATCTTGATTTACGTAGGGTTTACAAATGAACTTGTTGCAATCTTGTTGATTTACTTGATTGAGATTATATATTTATATATGTGTGCCTTATATACAAATGCATATGTGATGATACTAGGTGTTTGTTAAAATGTCTAGGTAAGACTTATTGATAATATATGTTAAATTTTAACCCAACATCTTAATTGAAAACATAGTTTTTAATGTATCAACATAGTTTTGATCTAAAATATCTTTACTTGTAATAGAAATCAAATTCTGGAAATAGGAATAGGCTTCACTAAAGTTGAGCAGTAGACATGATATCATGATTCCTACGATTAAAAAAACATGATGGCTTACTAACAGTTTTATTCTAGCTACTTTACTAAGTTATTACCATATTTATTGAGTAACCTTCTTCCTTTTTTCATGGCAGCCCTATTCTTTTCATTTGTTTAGAAATTTAAAGCATTTAATTTGCTATATACTCTCTTGCGATCCACATAAGCCTAAAATGAAAATAGAAAAGTGTTTCAATCAGGCATTGAATAGAGATGGCCAAGACTTATTTTATGTTCTTACTACTCTGGTGTTTTATAAACCTTTTTCTGCAATTTGTTTTCATGCTCGTGCTCTTCATCCCAAAGCTGCCTAAGAAATGTCCTGCTACTAAGTTTTATACCAAAATGAAGGGGGAAGCTAGCATTAGTTGAGCAGGAGGAGGTTCAGTGTCAACATTTGAAACTTAAAACATCTTCCCTGTGTTAAGAGCTTCGATTAGTAAAAAAATATAAACAATGTAGATAAAAGGGATAAATTTGAGATAGATGACTGACCATAATAACGTAAAGGTTTCAGATAAATGGCTAACCATGAGGAAGAGTTAGTTAATGCGACAATTGGAATACTCGTTACTTGGTTTGTAACTATGATTGCCACATATTGGATGTTGATGGAGGATGGCATGTTTGATGACTCTGATAATAGTGATCTTGAAATTCATCAAGAATCTGAGGAAGTTAAAATTGTGGTTAGAGAAGTCATGACAAATAGAGTGATATGTCGAGATATGATTCGTATGAGTCCAGAGGCTTTTTATGAGTTCTGTGAGCTCTTGGGAAAACATGGGGGTTTGCGATCAACTCGATGGGTTAATGTTGAAGAACAGGTTGCTATGTTTTTATACACCGTGGGACATGCTGCTACAAATTGGCAGATACAAAAACTTTTTGGTAGGTCTGGAGAAGTTATCAGTCGTCATTTTCACAATATGTTATGAACTGTCATAGAACTAGAAGATAAATTTATTAGACAACCAAATGGATTGTCGACACCAGCGGAGATCCGGAATGATCCAAAGTTCTACCCCTACTTCAAGGTGAAGACAATTAACTTTTTACATTTAAATAGTTTATATTTTAATTCAGAATATGTATTTATTTTAAACTATTTCAAGAATAAATAACTATTATTAGGATTGCGTGGGAGCAATTGATGGAACTCATGTGCGAGTTAAAGTCCCTGCTGAAGATGCTCCTAGGTATCGTGGAAGAAAAGATTATACCACACAAAATGTTTTAGCAGCATGCACCTTTGACTTAAAATTTACATATGTCGTAGCTGGCAGGGAAGGAACGGCATCTGACTCACGAATTTTAAAAAGTTCGTTGAAGCGATCATGTCCATTAAAATTTCCACGAGGTACTTTGTATAACTCAAAATTGTAATATTATGTAAACCATGAACGTTTTAAGTAAACACTTAATTCATAGATTTTTTTTTCATAGGTAAGTTCTATCTTGGTGATGCTGGTTTTGGCGTGATGGGTGGCTTGATTCCACCGTATAGAGGGGAGAGATACCATTTGAAAGAGTATTCACGTAACCCACCGAAGACTATGCGTGAGCTATTTAATTTGCGACACTCAACGCTCAGAAATGCTATTGAGAGAGCATTTGGGGTCTTAAAAAAGAGATTTCCGATTATGGCTAGCGCAGATGAACCAAATTTTGATGTTAGGATGCACACACGGATCATATTAGCGTGCTGTATTTTACATAATTTTCTTATGGGCGTCGATCCCGATGAAGTTATACTCAGAGAAGTGGATGAAGAACTTGCCAACAGAACTGATGCTGAACATGAAAACCAAGCAGATGATGTTAATGAAGAAGATGACGTTGCAAGGGGACAAGTTGTTAGGGATCGTATCGGAAATGCGATGTGGCGGGATTACACCACTTAGGTGTTTGTGAATTGTATTAAATTTGTTAGACTTATTTGATCTCTAGAATACATTAGTTATTAAAACTCCGAATTTGTTTTTCAGTTTATTTGTTTGCCCATGGCTCTTGTATGAATTGCCTCCTTGTTCTACAACACAAGATTAAAACAGTTTATATTAATATTGAATTATTATCAATGTAACCTTGTTTTAGTTTGTTGTGTTGTTTACTGACTTTATTTGTTTATAAATAGAGACAGTGTAATGCCTCCAAAAAGAATCCGCACCGAAGGAGTTGATGCTACTTCAACTGATGAAAGAACCAATTGGGCACGTGATATGGATGAATTCCTACTCGATTCTCATCTTAATCAAACTTGTTTAGGGAATCGCCCTAATGGTACTTTCAGTGCTCATGCTTATAATCAGATTTTGAAGGAATTGGAAGAAAAATTTCCAAACATCACTTGGAATAAAGATAAGTTCAAGAATGGAGTCAAGACTCTAAAGAAGACATGGCAAAAGGCATATGATTTATTTAAAAATGCATCTCAAAGTGGTTGGGGCTATAATGAGAATACTCACACATGGGAGGTTGAGCCACAAGTTTGGAATGAATTTGTTCAGGTAAATGTTTAGATTTGTGATAAAGGTTTTAATATTTTATACATCATGCATTATAGTTCTTCACATTTGTATGACAGGCTCATCTAGAAGCACATATATGGAAAGATAAGCCTATCCCGTACTATAAGAAGATGGAAGAACTATATGGCAAGGATAGGGCTACTAGAGAAGGTGCTGACACTGCCTCTGAAATCAGAGCAAGAAGAGTTGCATCTACACAACAATATTCTGGCTCAGGTAGTATGATCAATGATATTGACGATATGACAGAGCAAGATGAAATTCAGATTGAAGGTTTTAGCTCCCCTGGTGCTAATGAAACCTCTCCAGCTACTGTTGATGTGGAATCAGGTACTACTCATGCTAACTCAAGTGGTGCTAAACGTGGCAAAAAAGGGGGTAAGTCTAAAGTGGATATGGAGTTGTTTTTTGAAAAGTGTGAGGGAATGTTATCATCTGGTATTGAGAAGCTTGGACGCTCAATTAATGACATACCACTTACCCCGGCGGATGAGATTAATCGATATGGACTTTGATTCTAGGTATAGGCTCCCAGCATTTTTGTATCTTTCAAGAAATCAGACGGAGTTCTGCATTCTTACTGGAGCACCAAGGGGTGATCGGAGCACCACGTTACTCTTGATGTTGATGGAAGCTAAGCTCATTGATGTTAATGTTACATCGGGTTAAGACTCATGTGGTGGCACTTTGGTTGGATATTAGATATTTTCATGTTTACGAATTATGTTAAACTGTCAAATGCTAGGAAGCATATTTGTTTTTTAACTCTTTGATGAACATCTTTATGTTATGTGTTTCTGCAATGAATTATAGTAGAATTTTTATAATATATGATAGATTTTTTTTTTATCTATTCTATATGTTTGAGCTTACCAGTATAAGAGTTTTGTTAAATTCACCTTTGTAGGAACAAAAGTCACGTCTTTATATTGAGTTTATTGTTATGTCAAAGCTTGTGTGGAGCATTTTCGGCAGGTGATTATGTCTCTGCTAGTTGTGGTTTGGGGTGTTCGGCTTGGACTGTTTCTGTTTGTGAGATTTTGCTCTGGTGGGGAATATTTGTGGCTTCTACTCCTATCTTAGAAGGTGCTGGCTGAATGGCTTGTTGTGTCTGGTCTTATTTTTATGAAAAATGCTAAAGGTACCCCAATTGGAACCCGAATTTGTACCCCCACCCTATTTTTGTGGCTCACAAAAGCACCTCATTAAAGTGGGACAATTCATTTATTGAGATGGGCTTTTGTGAGCCACAAAAATAGGTTGGGGTACAAATTGGGGTACCTATAACAGGGTTGTATTTTTATTACCCTGCTTCTGCTTTTTCTTAGCTGTATATCATTACTTGAGGAATGAGCTGACAAAAAGTATGGTAATCTTCCTGCATATCAATCCTTCAAGAAAAAAACCAGCCCACTCATTATGGTGCCCATATCAGCTTCATTGTTTAAACAATTTTATTTATGTTGAAACATTTAATGTGCATTCTTCAAACATATAACCTCTGAAGTTTTATGAACTTCGTAGGAACGTGTATTTGCAAAACAAAAAGCTATGTTTCTATTTTCTTATACCATTGATTATTTGACCTGGAAAAAAAGCATTAACATCATGCACTTATACATATGAAGGGTATATATGTCATTAGTGAGATAGAGCACATCCATCCAAACAACAATATATTACATTAACTTAGGTTCACTTAATTTTTATCCAAACAACATTTTATACATGTACCTAGGTTCACTTAGGTTCACCTAATTTTTATTAAAACCTAGGTTTAATTTATTACACTAACGGCCTGTTTGGGTAAGGTAGATTTAAGTAAACTTAGTGTAATAAATTAAACCTAGGTGGAGAGTTAGGTTTTTGCCACGTTTTTTAAACCTTAGTGTAATAAACTTTAGACTTACCCCTTTTTTTTGTCACGTTTAGCACCACTTGAGTTAGCATGAGTAGTACCTGATTCCACATCAACAGTAGCTGGAGAGGTTTCATTAGCACCAGGGGAGCTAAAACCTTCAATCTGAATTTCATCCTGCTCTGTCATATCGTCAATATCATGGATCATACTACCTGAGCCAGAATATTGTTGTGTAGATGCAACTCTTCTTGCTCTGATTTCAGAGGCAGTGTCAGCACCTTCTCCAATAGCCCTATCCTTGCCATTGAGCCTTTCATACAAATGTGAAGAACTATAATGCATGATGCATAAAATATTAAAACCTTTGTCACAATCTAAACATTTACCTGAACAAATTCATTCCAAACTTGTGGCTCAACCTCCCATGTGTGAGTATTCTCATTATAGCCCCAACCACTTTGAGATGCATTTTTAAATAAATCATATGCCTTTTGCCATGTCTTCTTTAGAGTCTTGACTCCATTCTTGAACTTATCTTTATTCCAAGTGATGTTTGGAAATTTTTCTTCCAATCCATTCAAAATCTGATTATAAGCATGAGCACTGAAAGTACCATTAGGGCGATTCCCTAAACAAGTTTGATTAAGATGAGAATCGAGTAGGAATTCATCCATATCACGTGCCCAATTGGTTCTTTCATCAGTTGAAGTAGCATCAACTCCTTCGGTGCGGATTCTTTTTGGAGGCATTACACTGTCTCTATTTATAAACAAATAAAGTCAGTAAACAACACAACAAACTAAAACAAGGTTACATTGATAATAATTCAATATTAATATAAACTGTTTTAATCTTGTGTTGTAGAACAAGGAGGCAATTCATACAAGAGCCATGGGCAAACAAATAAACTGAAAAACAAATTCGGAGTTTTAATAACTAATGTATTCTAGAGATCAAATAAGTCTAACAAATTTAATACAATTCACAAACACCTAAGTGGTGTAATCCCGCCACATCGCATTTCCGATACGATCCCTAACAACTTGTCCCCTTGCAACGTCATCTTCTTCATTAACATCATCTGCTTGGTTTTCATGTTCAGCATCAGTTCTGTTGGCAAGTTCTTCATCCACTTCTCTGAGTATAACTTCATCGGGATCGACGCCCATAAGAAAATTATGTAAAATACAGCACGCTAATATGATCCGTGTGTGCGTCCTAACATCAAAATTTGGTTCATCTGCGCTAGCCATAATCGGAAATCTCTTTTTTAAGACCCCAAATGCTCTCTCAATAGCATTTCTGAGCGTTGAGTGTCGCAAATTAAATAGCTCACGCATAGTCTTCGGTGGGTTACGTGAATACTCTTTCAAATGGTATCTCTCCCCTCTATACGGTGGAATCAAGCCACCCATCACGCCAAAACCAGCATCACCAAGATAGAACTTACCTATGAAAAAAAAATCTATGAATTAAGTGTTTACTTAAAACGTTCATGGTTTACATAATATTACAATTTTGAGTTATACAAAGTACCTCGTGGAAATTTTAATGGACATGATCGCTTCAACGAACTTTTTAAAATTCGGAGTCAGATGCCGTTCCTTCCCTGCCAGCTACGACATATGTAAATTTTAAGTCAAAGGTGCATGCTGCTAAAACATTTTTGTGTGGTATAATCTTTTCTTCCACCGATACCTAGGAGGCATCTTCAGCAGGGACTTTAACTCGCACATGAGTTCCATCAATTGCTCCCACGCAATCCTAATAATAGTTATTTATTCTTGAAATAGTTTAAAATAAATACATATTCTGAATTAAAATATAAACTATTTAAATGTAAAAAGTTAATTGTCTTCACCTTTGAAGTAGGGGTAGAACTTTGGATCATTCCGGATCTCCGCTGGTGTCGACAATCCATTTGGTTGTCTAATAAATTATCTTCTAGTTCTATGACAGTTCATAACATATTGTGAAAATGACGACTGATAACTTCTCCAGACACTACCAAAAAGTTTTTGTATCTGCCAATTTGTAGCAGCATGTCCCACGGTGTATAAAAACATAGCAACCTGTTCTTCAACATTAACCCATCGAGTTGGATCGCAAACCCCCATGTTTTCCCAAGAGCTCACAGAACTCATAAAAAGCCTCTGGACTCAATACGAATCATATCTCGACATATCACTCTATTTGTCATGACTTCTCTAACCACAATTTTAACTTCCTCAGATTCTTGATGAATTTCAAGATCACTATTATCAGAGTCATCAAACATGCCATCCTCCATCAACATCCCAATATATGGCAATCATAGTTACACACCAAGTAACGAGTATTCCAATTGTCGCATTAACTAACTCTTCCTCATGGTTAGCCATTTATCTGAAACCTTTACGTTATTATGGTCAGTCATCTATCTCAAATTTATCCCTTTTATCTACATTGTTTATATTTTTTTACTAATCGAAGCTCTTAACACAGGGAAGTTGTTTTAAGTTTCAAATGGTTGACACTGAACCTCCTCCTGCTCAACTAATGCTAGGCTTCCCCCTTCATTTTGGTATAAAACTTAGTAGCAGGACATTTCTTAGGCAGCTTTGGGATGAAGAGCACGAGCATGAAAACAAATTGCAGGAAAAAGGTTTATAAAACACGAGTAGTAAGAACATAAAATAAGTCTTGGCCATCTCTATTCCAATGCCTGATTGAAACACTTTTCTATTTTTCATTTTAGGCTTATGTGGATCGCAAGAGAGT